AAACAAACAAATTAATTTGACAATGAAAGGCATTTTTGAAGGCGAATGGATTAAATTGAATCACATGTATGAGGGCTTCTATAGAGTCAACTATCCCATCGAAATGCTCCAGAAGTTTGCCAATTCAATTGAGGACAAATCGATGCCAGCAATGGACCGATTAAATATTATTACTGACTTATTTGCAATGATACAATCGGGCCGTACGCCCACCCATACAGGACTCATGTATTTATTGCACTATAAAAATGACGACAACTCTGCAATTTGGGATTATATGTTGAAATTGTTGTTCAAATTGGATCTATTGTTTTCGGACACCGATATCAGGGAACAGTTTTGGTTGTTTGGCCGACAATTACTGTCTGGTATTCACACAAAGTTTGGTTGGGATCCAAAAGATAATGAAGATCTAAGATTAACTAAACTAAGACCACAAATATTGACACTATTGGCCACATTTAAAGATAAAAAAGTTATTTCGGAAGGACTTAAGCGATATGAAGATTATAAAAAAGACAATTTAAATACAACTGATAACAACATTATACTTGTCATCTATAAGATTGTTGGCGGCAATAGTGATGATACAGTTTTAGATGAATTTTTTGAGGTAAACTAAATACAATAGTTATTGCATTATATTATGTTAATATTAAATTTATTAGCAAATTATTTTTGACTTAAATTTTATTATTATAAACAAATCATAAATTATAAAATATTGTAATTAATTTATTATGAATTAACAGTTATATAAAACATCTGAAAATCCAATCAAACGAAATCATATAATAACTGCTTTGACGGCAACCGACAAAAAGGAAAGGATTCTCAAAGTATTGGACTTTTCACTATCGGTTAGTTAATTATGTTTTTATTTTATTAAATCATTTTTAAGACAATTTCTTTGATCTATTTTTTTTAATTAAAAATTTAGGAAACAATTCGTTTCATCGACAGCTCAAAGATTATCTCTGGTTTGTGTCACTCATGGATTGGTAGAGACAAGACGTGGAAGTTCTTTGAGAAAAATTTCGATGAATTTGTCCGTATGTTTGGCTCATCGACTGTCGAAATCAATATATTAGTGAAGGTTTTTATTTTACTATTATTTATATTTTTTAAAAATGTATAGTAATTACTCAATAATAATTTCAACAAAAATTTTACAGAATTTTATTGAAATGTTTTCATCTGAAGACAAAGTAAACGAATTCGAGCTGTTCTTTGGTCAGCGAAGTCGAGGAGGAATTGATAAAACAATTGAGACATCACTGGAAAAGATAAGACTAAACGCCAAATGGCTTAATAGAGATATTTTGCAAATTAGAGAGTTTTTAAATCAATACAGTAATAGTAGTGAAGCTAAAAATATTTAAAATGTTTAAATAAATTATTTAATATTTATTAATAAATACTATTTTTTATATTATTTGTTAATTTTACAATAGTTGTTCAATAATAATAATAATAATAATATAACCATTTTTTTTAAATAGTTATTTTGGTAATTTTTATTTATTTAATTTTGTCATATTTTCAATTCATATCATCTTTTAAACAAATATTACAAAACAATAGACAAACCTTTATATTAAATATTATTATTATTTTATATGTACTTATATGTAATTACTATATATGAATTAGCAATAAAATTGATTTTAAATTGTATAACATTGTATATTTTTAATATTTATTTATTGATATAAAAATATTCCTAAAAATATTTACATTTTTAATGATTATATACTACAGTATGTACAGTATTAATAGATTATTAACAAATTGATTATCAATAGATAGTACTCATAATGTATATTAATATTAAATAGGTATGTAAGTATGTAATAATTATAGGTTTTATTTATTAGTTATATTGTGAAACACTATCATTATCTTGGACTAATGTTATGGCAACTTATAATTAGTTTTATTTGTAATAAATAAAGTAATAATTTAAATTATATATAGAAACATGTAATATCATCTAGGTGCATTCTTAATTATATAAACCGATAGAAAATTTACAAAATAATTGTTATCAATAATTATGTTTGCATTATATTTTTGCACACAGTTGTATTGCTATTTATAATTAATGCTATTGATCTTTAATTATTGTATGGATTCAATAATTTATTTATTTATTTTTTATTTTTGTTTGTGACACAAGAAAAATGAAATTATATTTAACATTTAAAAAAAATGAGTGAAACAAATGAATTAATATCTGTAAAAATTGCGGCAAATTATCCGGTTTGTTATCAATAGTTTTTTACTAAAACAGAGCTAATATTAAATATAACAATTAAAATAAATTTATATTTAAATATTATCTATAAAAATATTTAGAATCCTCCATACTTTTATACCAGCAAATTAAATAATAATTTAATTATCAATGGCATAGACTATTGGCTCATCAAAACAATGTTAACATATCTCAACATTTCATACGAGTTTATATATGCCGACAACAAATGGGGTAAACAAGTAGATGGAGTTTGGGACGGTATGATTGGACACATTGTCAACGGTACAGCCGATATTGCATTGGGTGCGCTGTCGGCTGACACTGACAGGGAACTGGTGGTCGACTTTACTATTCCTTATTACTATTCGGACATAACTTTTTTTACCCGAAAACAAAAGTTGAGTTCAATTAATGCCAAAACATTGCTAATTGAACCGTTCACTACATATGTGTGGATAACATTTGGTGCAACCATTGTAATCACAGTATTAATGATGAAACTTGTCAAACAAAATTTGAAAACTTTAATTTCTACTATTGTTAGAACTAGTTTACAACAAAGTTTGTATTATTATTATTAATTAATTATTAATTATAATTATAGTTTATAAATTTTTTTAAAAAATAATCATAATTACAGGTATACCAAATATATTGATTGAATTAAGATTTTACACAATAGTATGGTTGATATTTGGCCTGATATTATCGCACAGTTATGTTTCAGTCATATTTTTGTTTGTTAGTGAACTTTTACCTAAACCAGGAATTTCCACTATTGAAGAGTTAGCCATTGCTATCAATGATGGCCAATATATTCCGGCCACGAGTGCCGGCGGTTCATTGTATAATCTTTTAAAGGTTATACTTATATATTATAAGTTATTATTTGAAATCTAATACTGTATATCATATAATTGATACAATTTTTTTTCAAACAATTATTTAAATTACATAACAGAATATTACGACTATACCAATGAATTATATTTCCAATGAGTTGATAAATATTAATAAGATCAACACTGCCATTGAGTTAATGTTGGCGGATATGCCACAACTAACATATATCTGTCCCCGATTGTTGATTATGGGTCGCATTGCTAACTATGGTCACCAATATTTCAATCTTCCGCCGGAAAATGACGAAACAACTATACTTATGGAACAGTTGACAATAGCTGTAACCAAACAGTACAAACACAGGGACCAAATGAACATAATGTATGTTATTATATATCAGTGTATATACAGTATATTAGTATATATATTAAGTATTGCACTGTTTTAATCAATTTTAATTTTTGTTTAATTAAATTATTATAAAAAACTAAGATTAAGAAGACTGGAATCGTCCGGACATTTGCAACATTGGGAGAGATTATCGCTGAAGGAGTCGTCGAAAAACTCACAGAACAGTACTATAATGGATAGTATGATGTCTAACGAGGATAAGTCAAACGATGGCATGACTTTGAATACAATTCAATATATTTACTATATGTATGGCATCGGTATTATTGTTGCCATAATTGTCATAATAAGTGAATTAATATCTAAACATTTTAGATATATAAACAAAAGAATAATTTATATTTAATAATTCAATTGAATTTATTATATTTATAGTCAAGTATTAATAAAACTACAATATTAGATGTTTTTCCACTAAAGTCCAGTATTAACAACTAATTAATTATTTTTTAGCTTTACATAAAAATATTGATTTTGTTGTATCATATAATATGATTCATATTATCAATACAAATAACATAAATAGTTTGCTTAAACTTGAACTTAAGTTATATAAAAAAAAGTATTGTAAATATTACATCACATACCGGTAATTATAATCCTTACTACTAAACAACTGTTGTTATAATTGTTATATTTATTAAGTGTACTGAATTGAAGCAATTATTTTATTGACATTTTAATAGTCTATAATAATAAAACTAATTAAAAATTAAAATGTTTAGTTTAAAAAGCAGTGATTGATAAAAGTTTGTTTAAAAATATTCATTGAAAATTATTCATTATTACTAAGAAATTCAAGAAATTTGCTAATTTATTGTAAATTAATGTAAATTCACAATTAATACACTTTAATACATAAATTCACCTTGAATAAAGGTTAAACTTATTATGGTCATTGTAAAAGTAAAATTAATTATAGTTTTATATTCTATATTTTTTATGAATTAAAAATAAATTATTAAATTATGAAAGAATACAGAATAAAGTATAAAAATTTAAGTCACATTACAAGTAATAAAACTAAATTTATAAAAAAATCAATTTAAATATATATATATTAATTAATAATTTTTTCAAATTTAACCACCCTGCTAATCAATTAGTAATAGAAACATTTAGTTTCTGTTATAATATATAACATTTTCTATATAAAATTAGACATTTTCTATAAAATATTTATTAAATAATAAGATTTAATTACTATTATTTAATACTATTTATGCTATAAGTAATAACAGTTAAAACTTAAATTATACTAAAAAAATATATTAGAATATTATTAATCAATTATTTAAATGTTATTTTATTTAATAATACTGTTATAACTTGAAAACAGACAAATATTTTAACTCAAAAAAAAAAATTAAATTAACATCAATTCATCTTATATGTATTCAAAAAACCAAAAAAATATAAAATACAGTTTAAAATTATACAAAGAAAAACAAGTCCTGTATTGCTTGGTTTGAATGACTATCAAAAAAAACATTAGTAAAAATTAAATTAATAAAAAAAATTATACAAATTATTTCTATAAAAAAAAGATCAGAAAAAATTATATAATATATAATTTCAGTACAATATGTGTCCGAAATTTTGTCAACAATTTTTATAAGATGTTTGTCAGTTAAAAAAAACAATTTGATTGTCCATTCATCTCAATCATACTATACATATTAACAAACATATAAACAATCGTATATAATGTGGACAACAAGTTAAACATTTGTCTCCTTTAAAGCACACAACAAAATAGTGGATCAAATATACTTTTAATCAAATATATATATATATATCTCATGAATAAACTTATTCTTCTTATTCTTCTGGTGTGACTACAACTTATTGTGTCTGTTGTGAGTCGACAATGCGTTTCATATCCATAAGCGCTTCGTGCAGCTCCTGTTGTAGCCGTACGGCACTGGTCTCTGGACAGCTCTTGTACGACGAGATGGTAAACGAATATTGATGCGATTCAATGCCGTAGAAAAAAGAGTAGCCGTTCTCGACCATTGGCGGTACTGAACCGCAAATATTGAGATAACCGACACAACTGGACGATAGCACAAAGTTACCGTTACCACCGCTCTTCACATACATCGGATCGGTGTACAGATCGGGCACTTGCATACCGTTCTCCAGTGCTGTCAGATAGAGGCCAAGTAAGTGTCGATCACAGCCGGCGCCGTTCGTAGCGCTTGCCATCGTTTGCTGAAACTTTTTGCCAGATTTTATAAGAATTTCATACAATTCCGAGTCCTAAATGGTAAACAAAAAATATATATATAAATAATAATCGGAAAACAATATGTGATAAAATAATTGTTTACATCTTTGTTGCCCTCAGTCACGGCTCGAGCAAAGTCTACAGTCTCTGAAACGCACGGTCTGCACGTCTCAGTACGTCCTCTATAAAACTTGCGTGTAGTGGCCGTACAATAAGTGGGAGCTGCCTTCCCATGTATTCTATAGTAGGCCAACTGTACGGCCACCTGAATGTACGCTTCGGGATGTATCTGGTGTTTGGCTGATACGGATCGGCCGTATTCGGTAAAAACTTTGTAAGTAATTTCAATGGAGTCGCACATCTGCCGGTGCGCGTATTTGGCAATTTCTATCTCATTGACAATTTTATCGTCAATTTTGAACTCCAGAAGCAGCGGTTCCGGTAGAGTGCGCTTTGTTTTTGGTCCGTTGTAGACACCTTTACACTCGCTGAGCGACATCAACACGTATTGCGCTTCTGTAGCTATGGCCAGACCGTCAAACGGTGTGTGATCTAAGTTTGCGGCAAAGTTTCCGTTAACATAAGCAATGTTTGTAAACGACTTATCCGCCCATCTGTTTTCGCATCCCGAGCCTAACAGTGCTTCTCGTAATATCTATAAGACATTTAATGTTAATTTCAAACACTTAACAAATTATGAAATCAAACCGACCTCTTCTTGACCGATGGGTTGGTTATCATCTAAAGCCACCACAAACATAGAGTTCTCAATAGTATTCAATATGTCTTCATTGTCTTTATTTAACTTAATGAGATAATCCCTATTGTCCGCCCATTTAGTCCTATCGGTTGTGGTCAGTGAGCCAATACCTGAACCAGTTGTGCCATTTTGTTGACACCAGTTCTCAATATGTTTTAACTGGTGTTCAATTTCTGGTGCGGTCAGCAGCTGATCATTTTGTACCAAATCAAATGAAAATATGTGTCCCTTATATAGTAGTATAATATTATTGGGTGAAGAGCCTCCCTCTGACTCTATAAAAATGTAATTTAATATTTTAATCAATTGATAATTGAAATGTTGTCTTCAATTAATAGATAAGATGACTGACCCGTCTTAAAGTTTTCAATAAGTGAATCCTTGTGTTTGCCGGGTATACGACATGTATTGAACACCCGATGAAACTGATTCATTGCCAATGGTTGTCCACTTTTGTTTAGCACTGGTTTCAGTTGTTCTCTAAAAATGTTTGAAAAATATTTGTTGATATTTTTAAAAACTGTATCCAATAAATACACACAAAAAAAAACTATCAAATCTAATTGTCTTACTTTCTAAGCAATTGCCAAAACTGTAGATGAAAATAGATGAGTAAAGCCAGACGCTCGAGTCGTGTGCCGGTCTGTACGGGCCAGTAGTCATAATTGGGTAGCGAACCGGTCATATTTGAAAATGGAATCAATGGCAACCGATTCTGGAGATAAGCCACGTCCTCCCACCATAACTCCAACTGTTTAGAAAATATAAGATAATTTCATCGATTAGATGAGCCATCAGTGGATTAATGAGTTAATTTGTACCCAATTTTTGCTACTCTCGGCTCGTTTCATAAGCATCTGTTGCAAATCATTGCCGATTCCGTTCTCAAAGTTGCGGACAATAGTCTCGGTCCGAGCGTATTCATCATCGGTGGCCACCGGTCTCACAGTCTCCAAGTACAGCTCTAGTGATGTCTTGAGCGACGGTACCGGTAGTGCCGGCAGTTTGTCCTCGTTTTCAAATGTCTTGTTTGTGGTCGACTTGAATATGGCATCCCTTCCGATCACTCTTGAGGTGAGACTTTCGGGCAAATATTGAAGAATTCCTGTTAAGAAATTCATTGATTCGTATATTTTTTGTCGTCAATTAATTTTTAAAATAATTTTCTTATTAATATTATATTTAATTATTTCCTTTTTTAAGATTGTTTTTCACACACATACACACAAACTGCTAAATATATTGATTTAATATACATTTGTATTGAAAGTAATTATATATAAATATATTCAAATTAAACTAAGTGTAATAAATTATATTGAATTTCATTATTATTATTTTTTTTACTTTACTACACTCTCACTTTGCAGTAATAATTTATTAAAACAAATTATTTCTTCACCTAATAGTGTAAATGAAATAACAATTTTTTTTTCAATACAAGGTACTAATAGAAATATTATTATTATTATTATTGTAAATGAAATACACTTTTCATTACAGTATATGAATTGAAAGATATTCTGTTTATTGATGTCTTTATTGTTGTTTTTGTTTTATTTTATACAGTATTTTGTCGGCAAATTGAATCAATCGCTTTGTTTGCTATTACTCTACTGTACAGTACTGTCGGATCCAATCCTATTGTATTTTATGCTCTCATTTGACATTAAAGGCAATGAATATATCGATTTTTCTCTTATAGTAATATAAAACTTATAAAATAAAGTGTTAATATATTGTATATTTGTTAGACTGATATACGATTTATTAGAAAACTAATATTTTTAACATACAAATATTTATACAGATTTAAACAATGTATATTTATTAATAATTATACTGTATTTAATGCGATAAAATTATAGTCAAACAAATAAAAAATATGCTAATATGACAAATGATTTGCAAAATTGCAAATCTACTTAAATATCTAATATCTTAATTATATAATAAATATATTATATTATATTCAGGTATATATATTGTAAAGTAATGTTACATATTTATGATAGATATTTTATATGACAATCATAGGTGATTTTAAATGGGAAAACAAATCAAATAAATAAATATATCTTAATCAACAAAAATATCATCAAGAAATAATTAAATTAATTATAGAAATATATAATATATAGATATTATTATATAATTAGAATAATATTAATAAATTGTTTTCAATGAGTTTGTAAATAAGTCATTAATAATAATCACTTTTTTAAATGAGACACATGTTAGGCAATAAAAATATTTTTTAAAAAATAATAAAAACATAGTTTTTATTGATTGAAAAGCTTTAAATTATTAATATCTCATGTGACATCACTTTTCACAATTTATCCTTGATTATTTTGTTATTACATATGATTATTATGTAGTTGTGTGTATTTATATGTGTTTGTGGGCTATAATGTACATGCATTGTGAGTACATAAGAGTACATTTATCAATCAAGTTATATTGTACTGTACTGTACTAGTTTATATTATATTATATTATTGAATAATAAATAGTATAATAATAATAATAATAATACAGTAATTATTATTATTGCTGCAATATTTATTGCAATTACTGAATCATCAAAATATACATATGTTTGTATATAATGTATAGCATACATACAAACATGTATATGAATGTTATAGTACTTATATTAATTATATTAATATCCTCAATGATATAATTAGCGGAAAAAATATGTTATACTTTTCAATATAAAATGGCATAAAAATATTCATCGAAATTAATCTATCTATAAATTTAAATAGGAAATTATTTTTTTGCACATTATATTTAACAATTTTTTCAGATCCTTGATATTTAAAAGAAAAAAAATCTCCAATGTTATCAAACAATAAAATATTATAAATAATATATTTTATAATAAATAATATCTTATAATAAAACATAATAAAAATCAGGGTTTCCAACAAATTAGTAATTTTGTCGCAATTTAAAAATACCCATATTTATCAAAATTATTCCCAAAATTATTTATTATAGTAATTTAATATGCAAATATAGAAAATATAGAAAATTTATATTTAATTTGTAATTTAATTTTGATTTTGATTGATCTATTTAAAGGACAATTTTTATATATAAATATACTTAAATTATTTATCAAATATTGTATTAAATATTTTTAAAAAATTGTAGTATTGTTATTAAAATCTTGTTTATATAAATGCAATATATTTTCAATACTATTTATAATAAATAATAATAATAATAAACAAAATAATATTAATATTAATAAATCTCAAGCCATGAAAATTTTTATTGCAATTCATTGACGTTATTATCATAAGTTTTCTCAACACTTTTTATAGCATTTCTTATCTGAAGAAAATTATTTATTTATTTAAAAACCTCGAAAATGGTTACTGAAGTGGTTTTCATATGTTAAACACAAAAACCACTTTTTATAGATATTTATATATGCAATGAACTTACACTAAATTAAGAAAAAAATATATTCAATAACAAAAATATTTAGTGTATTAATTAAAAATAATATACTTTATATATATATTTAAAAATACATATATATTTTTAATTAAAACTACCAATGGATTCATTGAATGCTAATAATAACAAAATCAAGTATATATACACTGCATCACTATATTATTGCTTCATTGCTTGCGTAAGTGATTTGTTTGTATACCTAATTATAATTTATGTCTCTCTCTCTCTCTCTCTCTCTCTCTCTCTCTCTCTATGTGTATGTGTGTGTGTTGACTAAGATAATAATAAGATATACGTAATGATCATTCAAAATAATAAGTAAAAAGTTTATAGAAATAATTAACTAACAATAAGATAGTAATTAATGTCAAATAAAAATATAATTTTAAAACATTTAAAAAAAAAACAATGATTTGATTTTTGTCTCCCAAACTATACACAGGGTCTATGCTTTAGTATATTTAATCCGACACTAATTGACTTAAAGGACATATTCAGCACTACCCTAGAGAAGGCATCATTAGCTTTCCCTATCAGATCAGCCGGTTATGTAATCGGGTCGCTATCATGTGAGTCCACTCTCTCTCTCTCTCTCTCTCTCTCTCTCTCTCTCTCTCTTTCTAACATAACTTTTACTATAAACACAATTGTGAGCTACAATATTATTTAGTTTCACCTAAATTATTGAAATCATTATTAAACAAAAAAATTTTAAGGTTATATGGTATATGTTATAACAAATTATATAAAATTATAATGTTATATAGTATTGTATAATTTATATTAATCTGCACTCATATACCGTAAACGATATATAAGGTAAATGTTTATAATATCTTATCCTAATTTCAATCACAACAAAAAATTAGTTTTTCTTTTTGTACAAAATTTTTAAAAAATGTTTTTTATTGCCGTCAGGTTTTTACAAAAAATAAAATATATATTTTTAATGTGTTTTTATCACTTGTTTTTTTTAAATAGGAATATATAGTAATAGCATATATACTTTATATATTTAAAAATGTTTGTTTAAATGATGTATAAAAATAGCAAATCAAGTTTTTTTTGCGGGTAAAGTGCACTAAACTTTACAATGACTATTGTGTTAAATTAATTTTAACTAACAATTAATATTTTTATGTACGTAAAAAGCAATTATTAGTTAAATACAATTAAAATATATAATGATATTTTTCCGACTATTAGAAAATAATTAATAATTCAAATCATTTTAATATCAATTTACAAACTAATGCTTTTCATGACTTACTTGACACTTGAATTGTTTTTTTTATTAAAATATATTTTCTCAATTAATAATAATAATTAATTGATGAAATATATTGTTGAATTAAAAATTATAATATATTTAAATCTAATTACTAATATAATTAATTATATTTAAATTGACAACTTAATTGAATGTTTTTCAATAAAAAAAAGGTTAACCAATTTAAAGGGACTTTTTCCAAAATACAGGTTTTAAAACTATAGATATAAATTGCATATAATATCGATATAATTAATATAATAATTACACTAGAAATAACATGACACAAAAAAACATTAAAAACTACCAAAAAAAAAATATTTCAATATAAATATCTATTATAAAATTTTTATTAATAATGATAAAAATTAATTAAATTATTTAAAAAAAATTGTTTATTGTACTGTCAATCTATTCAACTAACAAATAAATGCCATTAGTTTAACCTTTTTTTGTTGCTATATAATAAAATTTATGATAATAAACTACATTATTATCATTATAGAGGTTAACGAGTATGGAGATAGGCTATGATTTATGATTAAAAAATTAAACAATTTTCAAGTCAATGATATCCATTGATACCGATATATTCATTGCATTTTTTGACAACTAATTTAAGTATTCATATCGCTATCATATGTCATTATTTTATTTTGTAAACTAAAATTAAATGATTAGATATTGGGAAAAGTAGATAAATTAGAAATTATTATTAAATATATATATATATATATACATTGCATGCATGTATTATTTATATACATATTGATATAAATAAAACATTTTGATTATGAATAATCAAATGATTTAAAAAAATAAAACAAAATTTTCAAATAATAATAAAGACCTGAAACAAGCCGTTGTCGCCAATTGTTGTTGTTTTTGTTTGCATTGTTTTTAGTAGTTGTCTTGTTATCCATTTATTGAATATTTCAGATATGATTTTAAACTAATAATTATTTTCTCTTTGTCTTATAAGTTGAATATGAAATCTGTTGAAAATTAGAGAAACACATAATAAATATATTTATATATATATTAATTTCACTCATTATTTAATTAATATGTATATATATATATTAGTAAAAACATTTATATATTAATATATAACATATACATATTAAAAATATATAATTCTGATATAAAATACAACATACAAATAAAATAAATATATAAAAATTTATTACTATTAGAAATTAGGGCACAACTTGTATGCAAATGTAATATTATTAAATAATGTGTCACAAAAAAGCCAATAATTGTATTATAACTATTAAATCGTTTGAATAGATGAATGAATGGTTGATTTGCAGAGAGTTTTGTTTGCGATTTGTTATTGATTTGTAGTTTAGAAAAGCGTTTTGATTGAGGAATATGTTATCACTTTATGATATATAATATAAAGCATTTCATTCAAACAAAACACTGAAAGCAAGAATTTTTCAAAACATTTAACCAAAAACCCGACAAAACTTGTCAAACAAGTCGAGAGAAAAACACTGGTTTCACATGTATTTAGGTATTAGGTATATATAAATAAATAAATATATATATACAGTGTATAGACTACTGTATATACTATAGTATTAGAAAACAGTATTTTGGCTATTTTTAGGTACTTTTAATGTATTTTCAACCAAAATATTTATATTATGGCAGTAAATAAGCGATAGTAATATCACACAATCTATTATTAATAATATCATCTAATAAGATAAATATATTATATATGGCAATAGGTCTCTAAACAATTAATGTATACCTTTTTCATTACACCTACTTTACTGTATATTATATACCTGTATATTGTAAAATAAATATAATTTGCTATATGGGTAATAATAATATTATTATTATGATTCACTATATAAGTCATCAAACTAATAATAACTACATATAAATAATTTTATTATGACTATTGTAAAAGTTGTTTAACATTTTGATAACACATGTTATTTGTCTACTCAAACAAAAAAAAGAAATTAGTTAATGTTATAATTGTTTTTTTTCTAAATATATTGTATTAATTTATGATAATAAGTTTAATAATACCTAAACTTAATAGATATATATAGATATAAAAAATGATTTGCAACTCACCATTTCTGTGTGAATTAAAATTAATTATTAAACTTATTATTTATGCAATTAATATAAACTTTAAGTTAAATAATAGAATTTATTTTAGTTGATTATTTTTATACACGTTTATATAGCTGTTATGAATTTCAAGTAAACCAAAATAAATACAATAAATCCAAAGTTTTCAAATCCAAAGAGCAAAGGGTTTTTTACATTAGCGCCCAATGATTAACATTATTAGAGAATCATCCGATTGTATTATCAGATATTTCATATAAAATACTACATATATCTCTAATTTATCAGAAAAAAAATCATTAGTTAAATATATATATTAAAAAAATCGATTAACATTAAACTAACAGGACATTTGATAATCTATGTATATAAACCTTATAAAAAACAATCAAATATATTGTTTAATTTTAACAAACATTTCTAATCAACTGTACCGAAAATAAATAAACTTAGATTACATAATAGATTAGAAATAATGGTATCGTTAAATAGATTTAGTCTAAAGTCCGCAAACAAGTCATTTACTAATCATTTATGTGCCAAATATAATACATAGCTTTATGACTATTCGACAAAATATTTTTTAATAAAATAAATAATAAACTTTAATCTAAATCATAATAAAGACAAATAAAATTTATAATTATTAAATTAAAAGTTTATTAAATCAATTTTTTAGGTGGAATTGTCACTACATTATTCAATAGACAACTGGTTTTAATTATATTATTATTACTAAAGTCGTTAACCATTGCATCGGTCCCCCACTGGCGTAATGTCTATCAATTTTATGGAAACGCCGTATTTAATGGGTTTTTTACGGCCGGTATCGATACAACTGTCAACGTTTGGGTTAACGAAATGTGGGGTACGGATGGCGGTCCCTATATGCAGGCATTGCACTTCTTTTTCGGTATAGGAACCATATTAGGACCGTTACTTTCGGAGCCATACTTATCTCCCAAAAATGAGACTCAACCGCACCCACAAATTGGCCAAATATATGGCTATTTATTTAAAAGTAATACTAATAACAATACAGATTTTGAAAGTAAACTCTATATACCGTACTCGATATCGGCGGCCACTGCCGTGATATCGGCACTCATTTTTTTAATACTCTTTCTAACCATACGCTATAAATCTGATGAAAGTCAGGAAACTGATGGGAGAAGAGGAGATAACTCAGAAGAGACCGAACAATTGGTGGCCAATAGTGAAGAAAACTTACGAATAAAGTTTCGGTGCTTTGACTGTACAACCATTTGGTTGATAGCCATTAGCGGACTCTTTCTAATAGTCTACGCGGGACAGGAAACGGTATATTTTCAGTTTTCGGCATCGTTTGCCACACAAACAGATCTACACATATCGAAAACGACGGCCGCATTTATGGCTTCGGCATTGGCCATGTCCTTTACTATAACCCGAGCGCTGAGTATATTGATAGCCATTAAGATCAGTCCTCAGTATATGATATACATCGACTCATTGGTGATATTTACGGCTCAAATAGTGATCTTAGTCTACGCTAACACCAATGAGAACTATCTCTGGTTCGGTAATATATTAATGGGCGCCGGGTTTGCGTCGGTGTTTCCCAGCTTTTATCCCTTTATTGAAAGATACCTAAAGATAACAAACATCGTTAGCTCAATGTTTATCTTTTGTACGGGACTTTCCTCGTGTATCTGTCCACTAATTGTGGGCCTATTTATTGAGACCAAACCATTTATGTTAATATATTTGTGTCTTTCATCAACAATACTGACAATCGTTGCATTGATTTTATTGCAAATCACAACAAAATTAAGCAATAGATTCCTAATTAATACTAATAATGAACAAAATGAGACTCAAAATTGATATTAAGTACAATTTTAATCAATTATTAATTAGAAATTTTTTATTATTTAAATAAAGTTCAATTATATTTTTTTATAAAAATAATTACGATAATTATATTATGATAGAATAATTAATTTTACATTTATTAAATTTACATTTAGAAATTGAATAACATTTTGCTAACAAAATTAAATTTATATGCATACTCAAAGTTTATCGTATAATTAATTTTAACAAATGCAAAAATAATATAAATAATATATTATTTTGCATTTAAAATAACTAATTATAATATCGGAATACAAACAAGTTTTTATTTCTAGTTATTTAACCTTGATAAGTTTTCTCAACTAATATAATGTTTAATTCATTAAATTTATAAATATTTATCACAATTACTTATAAAAAAACTATTTACTGTAGAATAATATAAGAATATACCTAAACTAAAGTTACAGCAAATATATTTTGATTATAATTTTAAATAGAGACTCAGTCTAATGATTATTTATGACATTATTGTTCAAATAGTAACTTAATTTTATATAAATCAAAATTAATATATAGAATATAAAAATACTATATCTATATTTGGAATAATATAAAAATATTGAGATTTCATTTAAAAAAATAGCACTAATAATGAAAATTTGTTTTCTTTAAATAAAAGACTAAAGTTAATAAAATATAACAAAATAAAAATAATATAAAATTTTTGGATTAAATAAACTTATCAAAGATTGTGTTGAAGTGTAGTTGAGTTTGACTTTTGAGAGTCTAAAATATTTCGCATCTCAAGCAATGATTGACGCAAACTATCATAAAACCGTTGGGCACTGGTATCGGGACACGACTTGAAAGTCATTATATTGAAAGAGTACTGATGATTCTCAATGCCGTAGAAACACGAATAGCCGTCCTCACGCATCGGAGGCATTCCGCCGCATGACTTCCAATAGCCGGAACAACTGGTCGACAACACGTATGTACCGCTGCCACCGGATTGCATGAATGACGAATCGGTGAATAACTCGGGTAACTCTATGTTGTTCTCTACTGACGTAACATATAAGCCGAGAAAATGACGATCACATCCTTGTCCTTAACATTAATTTAAAATTATATTTAAAAAAAAAATATAAAATAATTGTTAAAAAACAATTAAATAATAACCATTGCATGCGTTTGTCATCGATTGCTGAAACTTTTGGCCGGCTTTCAGTAGCAAATTGAATAAATAATTATTCTGTAAAATAAATAAATAACATTAATCTTTTAATTTCATAAAAATTTATTTTCTCAATATCACTATCTAGACTAACATCACTGTTGCCTTTGATCACAGATATGGCAAACTCGACGGCCTCGGGAGTACATGTCCGACACGTTTCGGTTCTACCCTTATAGAAGCGTCTGGTGGTGGCCGTACAGTAAGTGGGTGCAGGTTTACCATGCAATCGATAATAAGCCAATTGCATTGCAATTTGAATATACGCCTCGGGATGTATACGATGTTTGGCTGACAAACTGCGGCCATAATCTTTGAAAACTTCGTGATGATAGTCAATGCCATCACAGATAGTACGATACGATTGTTGCGCTTTTGTTATCTCAGTTCGCAATTTGTCATCAATTTGAAAGTCTAAAAGCATCGGCACTGGTAGTTTTCGGTCCGGTATCTGACCGTAATATTCTCCTTTAGTCTCAAACACCGATAGATTGATATATTGCGAGAGTGTGGCCAATGACATTGCATCAAATGGTGTGTGCTTTAAGATTCAAATACAATATTATTAATACAATATGTGTTATATAGGGGTTATCTAAAATCCATTTTATGTGTTTAACTAACATCGGCACTGGAAGCCAGGTTCCCATTCCTATAGGCAACTAATGTAATAGATTTATCCGCCCAACGATCGACACAATTACCGCACGCTGTTTGATAACATGTCTATATTATACAGTAGTAAAATAAATGTTAAAATTACCGGAATTTTTAATCAAAAAATAAATTTAGTAAAATTAAAACTATTATAAATAATGTTAATTTATGTATATTATAATATTCTGAAATCTACCGGTAATATATTATAATATATGTATATATCATGATACTGTATATACATACACTATTATGCAAGATTAACATAAGGAAAATTTTTACTTACCGGTAATATTTATTAATAAATTAAACTCAAATTAATAATATTGTAAATTATAATTACTTTTAAAGGAGTGTTAGGCTGGTTATCATCGAGAGCACAGACAGACAATGCATCCTCAATAATGTTAAGATATTTTTCATTTTCATGAGTCAATTGTTGCAAATATTTTCTGTTTTCAGCCCATTTGGTTCGGTCTGTTGAAGTAAGTGAACCAACACCGGGACCCGATTGGGTCTGCGATTGACACCAATTCTCAATATAATTCAACTGTATTTCTATTTCCGGTGCCGTAAGAAACTGTCCGTTAACCAGATTGTCAAAAGCAAATATATATCCTCTATAGAGGACTATAGTAATTGTCGATGCAATCGGTCCTTCCGATTCTGTCAACAAACAAAAAATTATAATTTTCTAAAAATTCAGATAATTTTTGAACAAAAAAATAATAAAAATATTAAACCCGTCTTAAATGTGTTTTTCAAAGTATCTTTCTCTGGGCCCGGTATTCGGCAAGTGTTATACAAATACTTGAACTGATCCATTGACCAAAAAGCGTTGCGAACTCGAGTGGCTTTCAATTGTTCCCTAAAATAACAAAAAAAAAACAAAACAATAGTTAACTACACTTAACATTATAAATGTCTCACTTTCTTAAAAGTTGATAAAAATCAAGACTAAAGTGTGCCATCAATGCCAGCCTTTTAATACCAGTTCCAGTCTTAAGCGGCCAGAAGTCAAAGTTTGGTTGAACTCCAGTCATATTTGAATAGGGAATCAATGGTAATCTTTGCATTAGATATGCGTACTCTAACCACCAATCGGTTAACTAAGAAGAATAATTTGAAACTAACAATACAAGTGATGTATTGAGAGATAATGTTTTACCCAATTCTTGCTATTTTCTGTCCGTTTTTCAAACAAGTCTTGCAATTGTTTACCGATTCCCGACTCAAATTGGCGACAAATTTCTTCAGTTGCCTCATACTGTTGTCCATCGACTACGGCTCGCACTGAGTCCAGGTATACGTCAAGAGTTGGCCGCAGTGTCGGCACCGGCAACGATGGCAGCGACTCTTCGTTGGCAAACGTCTTATGTTTGGTTGACTTGAAAAGTGTCTCTTTTAGACTCATTATTATTATTATTATTACTTTCTATCAACTGATGGACACTATTTGTGAGTTTAAAAAATAAGTTTAAAAACAAACAAAAAATACAATTAAAATAACTGTTATTTTTTAATATCTATACAATTAATGGTAATATTATTTATCATAAAATTATCAAATATATAGGAAATTCATATTTACTTAATATTAATAGTTATTTAACTGATTTTTCTTGTGTTGTATTTTCGGTTCAAATGCTCTCAATTTATTTTATAAACTTTATCTGAAAAAAACACTAAAAATTTATATAATTTATTAATTGATAACAAATTGTAATACTATTGGATTATTATATGTATGTATTTTTTTTGGGTATATCTAATGTTTGTTGACAATACATAACACTATTTATATTTATTATATAAACTGTTTAATTAAAGCAAATTTATATGATTTATGATATACTATACAATACTATAGCTGTATATAACTTGACTTACCATTTGATTAGATGACAACAACAAAAAATTATTTAATTTTATATAATTAAAATAAAATTTTATTATTAGTTGTGTTAATTAAAGTGTTGTTTGCTTTTTATTGATTAATAATAATAATTTTTTTTGACAACTATTATAGGTTTTGTAATATTAATATATAATAACTATTTTATTTTACATTTGACACCCATATATCATATTAAGTATATTTAATAAATAATTAAATTTTTTATTAATAATCTTAAATACCTTATTATTGAACATATGTTTTACTAATATATATATATATATATTGTATATCATTTATGATATCCTATGAAAATATAATTTACATTATATTTTGTTACATAAAAATTATTGATAACAATAAGTCAACAATAATTTAAAAAAAAAGATAATAATATCATATTTAAATAAATAAATAAATTTATTAAATTATTTGGTTGTTTGCATTTTTTACAATATAAAACACACAATTGATTTTTTTTTTAAATTGCAAACTAAATAAAATAAATAAATATAAAGTACTTTAAAAATATATAAATGTTTTGATTTGTCATTAAATCTACAAAAACACTACAATATTGTTATGTTTTGGTGACCTTCGAGTCAAACAGTGAACTACTATTGGATGACAACAACAACTACTACTGTATGAAAAACTCTGTCTATTATTAATCATATGAATAGTATTATTCAATAAATAGCAACAATAAACATAACAACAGTATATATAATATGAACACTAGAGGGCCAATAGTTATCAATAAAATAAGTTTTTTTGTGGGTTTTGGTTAAACCCAACACATATTTACTCTACAATATAGACCACCGATTATAAAAAAATAAAATAAAAAAATATATATATTTACTAAACTTTAGATAGTTTATGGTTTATATCAATATATTGATATAATATTTAAATTCATAGGTTTTTATTCAATCTATTGCATAATAGTTGTATTTATGGTGAAATAAAATATCTCTATTGTAAAAAAACCATAAATATAAATAAATTTTAAAAATAAGTTACTAGATTAATTTTTTTAAAAATTTCGACTATTGAGAAATTTATTTATTTTTATTTGTTTGTTTGTTAATTTAAATAAAATATTTTTCATACCAATAACACTACAATTGTATATTAACATAATTATTTATTTTATAAAAGGAAAATATAATAATTTTTTTGACATAAAATGGGTTTATATCGTTTATATATCAATATAATTAATTAAAAAATAAATAAAAATTATTTTAATGAATTTAAATTAATACATTTAATTAATATTATCAATTACAAATGTGTTACTTAATAAAATAAATATTATTTTATTATTACATAAATATTAATAGAAGAAAAATAATTTTTATGTTTATACGAATAACAATAAATTAGACTCAATTTTTAAAGTTTATACAATTATAGTCTATAAATAATAATAATTTAATAATATTTTTATTTTATTATAATTAATATTTATAATTAATAAATTTGATTTTTATAGCAAATCAAATGTCAATACAAAATATAAAACAATGAAATAATGATGACTTTCAATATAATAATAATTAATATTAAAATAGCATTTAAGTTGTCTGTAAAATGTTTTACCAGCATTAAGTGTATGAGAAAATGATAATAACAATAATAATAATAAACTTTAAATTAAAATAATAAAAAATAATTTGATTATCTTTTAGCGGCTAAAACACAGACAGCGATGAACAATGAAAACGATAGGATAGACAACAAAACTATGGCTACAATAAACTTCTGTTCCCTTTCGGTTCGCCGTTGAAACCAATTCTGGCGATGAGTGGACCTAATTGTCATCAAATTAACAAATAAAAACAGGGATTATTAGTAATAATAAATTAGTATTAATTATATATGAAAACAAAAATTATTTTTATAAAAATATGGAAATGAATATAGTTTTCAAACATACGCTATCTCCGGGAAAGGTGACGGGTTATTGATGTATGAACTACTGTCCGTAAATTGCATCGACATGTTTGACAATAAAAGTGAATTTTTTTCAATTGAATTAACAGTTACTTTAATTATTTAAATAAATACGACAATGAATTGATTGTTTTACTAATATATTTAAATACAGTGAATCGTCCAAAAAATAAGAGTCGTATTTGTCTCAGATTTTTATGCAATTAAAATGACAAATACCTTTCAAGTTAGTAGTTATTGAATTGAATATATATTTAATCATTAGTATTGCTATTATAACTATGGAGGCGTTTATTTGTATTAAAATAACAATATAAATGATAATTGTCATTAACAACACCGTCTTATTTATTATAATAAACTTGAGATAATAACTCAGCAAAAAATACCTATTTTATTATAAATTATAATTTTTTATATTTATAAAAGTTATTGCAATAGAATATTAGTTTATTAGATAAAAACAAATGCAATTTACTATTAGTTACAATTATTGATAGTTTTGTTAATAATATCACTAATAATTTATATAATATTAATCAGTTCATTCACTTTTGATTTTAGAGTTTAAATTATAAAATATCTTATTAATTAAATTAATGTTTAGCAAAAAAAATTAGCAATTTAGCATTTTTGTAATTTTTCAGTTTTATGTTATATTATACAGTATTTATCATTTAGTTAATGTCAAAATATGCAGATAAGTATTTAATTTTAGTTAATTTTATTATAATATTTATTATACAATATTAAAACTATCTCATTTGTAAAATACTATTAATTGTCTACTAATGATCACCAAACTGTAACACTGATAACAATGATAACCAATGACAGTACCTAAAATATAATTAATATAACATAATTTATATCAATAAACGATTTAGCAATTATTTAATAAATTATTTAACAATTTATTTATAGAATATAGTTTCATAACATATGATAAATAAATTGATTACAGACTTTACTGATATTTTTCTTTTTAAAGTACATATTATACAGCATAGTATACAATATTAATAATAATATGTTAGCCATAATTTATTATAAATTTAATTCTAGTTAATAATCACAAATAAAATTTTAACAAAATATAGGATTACTCATGTCGTCATCAAAATTACATTTAAATTTTTTGGCGAATTGATCTATGGTTGAAGCAATCAAATTGATTCTGTAATAAAAAGTTATATATATTTATATTTAAATTAGATTTATTAACAAACATATATATATAAATATATAATTAATATAAATTATTACCTGAATTCAATCAAAACTTTATCATCAATGAGTCGTTTTTGATAATTACTGTGTTTATAGTAAGTATTGGCTACAGACAGCCAGAAAAGCGTATCCGCGGTCTCATTGAATCCCATAATACCGGAATCGACACCTTTGGCACCAATGGCTAACTTGTAGGCATCAAATGTCAGACTAACAGTCTCTTTGTCTTTCATAAACATATTTCTAAGAAACTGGATGTGACTCTCAGTCATTGTCTTTCTTGCAATAATAACATCAAAATCGTTCATTTGTTTTTCATAACAATTAGCATAGGTTCGGAAGCCATTTGTTGTGGTACTGTCCCACCAATTAGTGCCATAGATTCCGTGTTCATCATAATGTCGACCCTTATCGTCAAACATCGACAACATTTGTTCACTGATTAATAGACCTAAAGTGCCATAAATAATGGATCTATTGATCAAAATAAAATGTTCAAAATATTTAAGAACAATTATTGATAACAATTTTGTCAATTATTGATAACAATAAACTATCAATATAATATAATATATATATATATATATATATATATATATATATATATATGTTTAAAGAACAATTTTAAACATATATATATTATATTCTATATATCTAAAAATATAAAAATTTATTACAAAATTTTGATATATAAAAAAAATATTTTGTTATATGATATATATTGTAAATACTCAGCAGTAGTGATAAGACATGAAAATAATTTATAAAAATAATACTATAGTTTGTGTATTTTTACTGTATATATATATATATTAGTGTATATGTCTCTGAATTCTACAATCTATGAGATCTATAATTGAATTTAGTGTCAAATTTAATAAAATATTTATTTATTTTTTTATTTGTTAATACTTTGGCAAATCTTGTTTGAAAAATCCATTTATCATTAGATCTGATATCATTACAACATTGTCTTCGTGACGATATTTGACAGCAAATTCTGTTGGTTTCATCCAATTCTGTAAAATTCTGGTAAAAAACAACAAAATAAACAAATATTTTTGACAATTGATTTAAAAAATTTGTTAAAAATTATTATTATTATATATATATTGAATATTAACTAACAAAAAAAATATTGTTTGTTAAACCTGATTGTTGTGTTTTGATTTAAATCAAACAATAGTTCTTTATGTTTATCCCATAAAAATTGATTCAATTTCAGTGTATTGGAAAAGTAATCATCCGTTATCTCAATCTATGAAAAAATATATATAAACATAAAAACTACTGTTTTTTATATCTTAACTAAAGTTTTTTTAAAAAAAAAAGTTTATATAATTTATGTTTATGTAATACAGCACAAGTTTTATTAGATATTATTATTATTATTATTAGTTAATCAATAGTTAATCAGTAGTTAAAATAATTTTTTGTTAAAAAGTTGACTACAATTTGATTATTTTGTTGTTGTAGTTGTTGTTGTTGTTGTTGATTACTTATGTCAACAATACACTACATGAATATACAACTAAAATACAAGAGATATACAGTATATACTATATATATGTATATATATATATATATATTTATATATATAAGAGATAAGGTCATACATTAGGACTGAGCCAACTGTTCACTCTGTAGTTGTGGTGATCCGTGAGTTCAATTGGAAATCCAATTCTTGATTTCATTAATAATATTTTCCTTTTCGCTATCGTCTTCACTGAAGTAGTCATCCATTTATTTTCGTCAACACTTTTAACAAACGACTCCTTAATCTTATCAATCATTGAAATAGCCTTTTGTTGTGCGGAAAAAAAGAGAAAACAAATAATAGACGGAAAAAATTGAGATAAATAATAATAATAATAAATTAATACACATTATAACTAGAAAATAGAGCTCATCTTTTTTTGTGGTAAACTTATTATTATTACTTATTATTATTATACAGTACATATCGATATAGTTTTTACTATAATATTAACAGCTACTAAATATTTAATAATACTAAAATTAAGATTTTAAAAATAATGTACTGATATTTTTTTTAATTTAATATTAAATATCACTAATACTAATAGTTATACATATACTAGTATATGTAAATTTATTTAATTAGATGTTACTAATAAATAATTATAATCATCGCAAATCACAATATGATTATATAAATTTTATTTAAAAAAAATACTATACAACATGTATTAACTATTTCTTATTTTTAATGATTAATTATTTCTAAAAATGTAAATTAGTCAACAATTTATTAATTTTATATCCAATGTAAGAATTATTTATTAATATTATCATAATTATAACAATTAGTTAAACAAACCTCATCTCTATGTTGTTTATTGAAATATTTATTTAGATAGACGTTTGCCATCTCTATCGGCATCATTGTCTTCATTTGTTGTACACATGTTTGCCATCGACTGGGTCTCAGGTAGTCATCAGTTATGAGTCGAAAATTAGTAACAGGTTTTTGCCACTTCGGGCTTAACAGTGAACTGTAGTGATATATAACTTTCCAAATAAGATAATTGGCCAAAGTTCTGGTGGGGGATAAATTAAAATATATATATATATATATATAATATACATGTGATAGCAATTGTTATAATTTATCATATTTACAGTACTATTACCTGGGGTTAGTGTGCGGCAATTTTGGACTTAATTTTGTGATATATAATGGCGCCAATAGACGGACTTCCATATCATCGTTAACATGTGAACCAAAAAATTCAGTCAACAATTGAAGCCAATTAATCTACAGTTCATTTAAATTTATATATTTAGAAAAATAAAATAAAAATATAATAATTTTTTTGATAACAAAAATATATATTACATTTGGAGCCCTATTATATAACTCTTTAACAGTGATGTAATCGTTTGTCAAATTTTGATAGTTTTGTTTATATGAAGGCCAGTTGGATAACAAAATGAGTTCCTCTTCGAACACCAATACCTCAAGTAAATCATTGTTTGCATAATCTTTGTTTGCGCCCATCATTGTGGCAAAAGTGACCATAACATTGATATAATCTTTTGACATTGTTTTAAGCCTATCGGCAGTCACATCAAAGTCAGGTGCGTCGATGGCAATGATATACTGGGAACTGTTCACTTGTCGGATGTCTTTTTCAATGGAAAACTTGATCAAAGTGTCGGCATTCAAACCCATCTTTCGGATCATAACATATGTGTTAATCCAATGATAATGTTTTAATCCCCAATCGTTGCCCTCTAATACTGGCCAACCATTTAGACTATTTATTATAGATCTTAACGGATTCACTTCTTGTGCTATAATGGCGTCTTTACATTAAAATATATTATTATTTTTATTTATGTTATCGTAGTTTAAAATTAAATATTTAATATACCAGTATTGAGACAACTATTGTAATACTTAAATAAATTTGCCATATATTTGTGAGATTCATTGTTTTGTTGTTTTTGTTGCTCTTCAATAGCATCTTTATATAATAATAAAAATAATTCTTGAACTTTTGTATATTTTTTATATAAATCTTATTTTCTTTTTTTATTAAGCAATGGATTTAATTTTAATAATTTTAATAATTTTCATACTCTTAAGATCAACATTTGATTGATATTCAATGGTATCGATGAAAGTGTTGATATCTTGTAATGCAGAATATTCTTGTAAACCACAAGAATATTCATAAAAATTATTGCATGGATTGATATTTGTTTTTATTGGACTTATTAGTGTCGAGGCTATTCAATTATAATTACAAATAAAAATACTAAATATAACGGAATTATATTTTAACAAATTTATTTTTGAAGAGAAATATCAAATTTAATTAATATATAAAATGGTATATATTGTACAATACATAATCTATAATATACTACTGTATGTAATAAAAGTGTGATTTTTAAAAAACATTTTGAGACTACAATACCTAATAAAATGCAATCCATTTGTTGGCATTTTTTCTTATTATTTGTATCGGCTATACATTGGTTCTCATATCGTACCAAATAATAAAGGCATACAATAACCAATGCAACTAATATGAGAAAAATAATGGCCAAAACCCATTTACAGTTACATGAAGACCCCCCTCTACGTTGATCTCTCTGTGGGCTTATTATATTTATTGCAAATTATTATTATAATAAATCAAATAATCTAACTTTTAATTATTTTTATTTATTATAATTAATGACCATATAAGCATTTTTCATACCTAATATCCATATTATGTATTTTATTATAAGTAGTAGTAGTATTAGTGGAAATTGGTCTATTAGTACGGGTATTATGCTGTTGAGTACTCATATTTGGGCGACAATTAATCCTATTATTTTTAAATAAATATAATTTTTAAAATTTTCATATCAATCAATACACACATTTATATGTTTACATTTGTTAATAAAATACAAAAAAAAAACTTAACTTTCAGATGTACACATTTAAGTTTAAATAATATCGTCTGTCTAATATACAATTTTCAATTGTTTTCAAACTATATAATATTGATTATTCAGTTAATGCTAAAACTATTAATATAAAGTATGTATTAATAACAGTAGACGATTGAAATACTTGTTAAACATTGACAGACATTAAGTAACAAATATTATATTATATTTAATATATATTATAATATCATATTTAATAATAACATACAAAACAAATTGTCATGTTGTGATACGAAAAAATAATAAATAACTTGTATTATATATCATTGTTAAATGTTTTCTACTATTATTTTTTAATAAATATCATAATAAAATTGTCAAATGGATGCGTGACTTATAATTAAATATTATTATTATTATTATTACTCACTACTACTACAATATTACTATTATTATATATTTGTTTAATATTACAAAATATGCATCAAATCGTGCAAATCTAATAATTCAAACTTTGTTTTTCAATATTAAGTTACATTATATTTCATATCACACACACATATATATAAAAGTTTATATAAAATTTTTAAGTAATGTGTTGTTTAATTAACTAATAAGCAAAAGAGTTAATTAAACAATTTTATTTGAAAAAAAAATTAAAGTAAAAATTACTAACAGTTTTCAATGAAATATATTTTTATATTTATTCTAATTTATATAAATTACTTACAGTAAAGTAAAACTAATATTAATTATAAACTTTACGGTAATATAATATTAACAAACAAAATATTACTGAATATTGTTAGTCATTGTAATAAAGAAAATATTTACTGCATTTCAAATTATTTAGCTAACAATGTCAATCATATTAATAATGAATCAATAAGTTTTATTAATTTTTAAGATAAAAATTACATTTAATTTATTTAATTTGCTTAACAATAATAACATATTAATTTTGATTTTATGTGATAAAATGCACTGTCATTTCCATACATCCATTATTAATGTATTTTGATAAAAATGTTAATTAATTTTTATTTAATATGATAAAATACATAATAAAATGTGACAAAATTGATACCTAAATATTATTATAATAAAAAATTATTTTAATAAATAACATTTAAATAATATTAATATATTTTTAACATTTTAGACATATTTACAGTAATATTTTTATTAATTATATACAGTATCTTAGCTTAAAAATAAATATACACTCAAAAAAAGATGTATTTAAAACAAAATTTATATCCTAATTATTATCAAAAATTATCTTATCATATGTTTATATTACTAATGAAGTCATGGATACATTTGACAAATGGTGTATTATTATTGTAAATACAAATACTGTTAGATTTAGATAACAATTATTTATTTTGTATATAAAAACAACACACAGAAAATAAATCAATTGATAGTTAATTATAATTATTAATTATACAAAAAAATCGTTAAAACTATGGGTAGAGTTAAGATGAGAGCCGACCGTACCGTCGGATTCATTGTTGTTAAAAACTTTTTGCTAGTATTTAGTATATTTCTATTGATGTCATCGCTGTATGTGTTATATTCATCTATAACTTACTACCGGAGCGCACTTCAGGCTATCAGAGCCGACCCGTACGGACTGCACCGACAACAGCTACTGGTGTGGCGATTCATATCGGTTGTCACCATATGTTTACAAGACTTTACAGCATTGGCCGGCATTATAGGCGCCTATAAAGAAAACTATGAGCTGACCCTAACCTATGGTGTCATCACAAGTGTTGTATTAGTGCTCAATATAGTGGACGCATCGTTGAGGCCGACAATCATCGGTCCAATACTGGACGTCTGTGTCCTTATCATTGCATTTGCTTTTTCACAATATCTTAAATCAACTGATTATGAAATCAACGACAAAAAGGCAGGAATTAAAGTCTAAAAAACTAAATAGTATTAAAATTTTATAATACTATTGTCTCTATATTTTGTACTTAATTTTTAGACATTTTGTAATTAATTTTATACAATAAATATAAATTATAACATATTTTACAAATGATTTATAATATTAAGTAAAAAAAAATTTTTTTTTTTGTTGGTATACATTATTGTAAAAGGTTATTTATCAATTATATATGATATAATAGCAATTTTATAGCAATACTAATGTTTCTAAAACTGCATTTATTTATTATCATATAAATATCATATAATTGCATCTAAATTATAATAATTAATTATCTTGAGAAAAGCCATACAGTGATAAAAATGTTAATTTAGGATCAATTTGAAAAACATATTTATTTATATATAAAAATCATATAAACAGTATAAAACTCAAATCTTTATTATACTGTGGTATATAAGAGTATAAAGTTTATTAAATTTATATTAATAAGTATTTGTAAACATACATAACTATTATAGAAAAACATTGTTTATAAATAGTATTCTTAAGTTTAATCTAATATTAAGATAAAATTTATCCAAAAAAAAATCACTTACTTGTTGACAACAAATTGTTGTTGCAGTATATTTAATATTTATTTAGTAACAAATTAATTTGATAGTGAATATTGAATTAATGCATATTTATTTTAATTAAAAACATTTATTTAGATAATATTTTTTTTGTACTGATAAATATTCAAAAAAAAATATTTAGATATAATATTTTATTTTATTAATATTTATAAATAATTATTATATCAATAATTATAGAGCAACAATTTATTTTAATTTATATATAACCTTAAATTTTGTTTAAACATTTATTTTCAAATTTTTCATTTATTGATCACAGAAACAGCTTTGCTTATGTTCTAAATATAACATATATATTGATATATTATATAATATATTTTATATATACTGTATTAGTATTAGTTAATACAATTGTGCAAAAAAACAAACATTATTATTATTTATTATTATTACAATTTCATAATATTTATACATTTAACTTTTTTTTACAACAAGAGTCTATAATATGTCTGAGTGTGCAAAAACAGCATAAAAATTATATTAACATTTAATAATTATTTTATACGTGACTTATATATAATAACGTGGGTGTACCGGTATATTTATTTACTTTTTTTTAAATATTTGATTTATATATTTTATTGATTATGAATTCAATCAATCAATTTAATAATATTTATTATTTGCTTATTGTTATTATTGGTGTATCACTAATATTTTTTTTAAAAACACAAATGGATAAACACTGTATTGTAACTTACCTGTAATTTACATTACATTATTTTTTAAACAGGTACAATATAAATAATATACTATAATTTATATACAATAAATAGTGTATATAAATTTATATATATATATATATATATAGAAATTTGCATCACATAAATTTCATGCATTAGATATTTTATTGAAAAAACGTGAAAAATGTGAAAAAGACAAATTAATTAAAAAGTATTAAATTTATGATATAATAAACAATGTGTTTTGAAAAAAACATTTTTTATATGATGATACTATTTACTATATATGTGTGAAATACAAACAAAACTAAACAAACTTATGGATCAGTGATTGATGTAATTACATAACAATACAAACACCGGAATCTTTTATTTGAATGTATTTGCCGTTAGGATTGGTATCCTTTGAAACAGTCGAGTTTGCATCGGTTTCCTCCATGGATCGGGATCTGCCCTGAGATCCCTGACCCAGATATGGACGTACGGATGGAGGCAGACATTTGATTGCAGCAATTTTGGGACTAATTGTACAAAAAAACAAAGAAATGCACAATATTTAGAAAATTATTAAATAAATTATAATTAAAACATATATTTATAAATATAAATAAATAATAGGATTACTTTGTAGAGTCGGTGCCTAACTGTGAATTGATCAAAGGACTGGGCGCTTTGACAATTGGTTGACCACCCGGTGCCGTAAACTCGGAAAAACAAGCAAACATTGACTGCTGTTTTTTCAACATCTTCTGTTTCGGACCAATCAATTTAGAGATCATACGCGTCGGTCTCATCATTGTCGGCGTCCGTTCAACGTTAACGTTGGCCGAAGCTATTGGACTGCCATCCCATATATTGTCGCGCGAGCCCATCGGCGACTGGATCTGTTGGGCGGCCAATGGCATAATTTTGCGAAAATCATCGACACTCTGTCCCCGATGTAACAAATGGTCCCAATAGAAGGAATCAAATGACTGTTCCCTTTTCAGTGCACCCTTCATGAGTATACGTTGGCGGCCATCGCGCGGTACAATTCCACGCCAGGCTGCCGGTGCTTTGATGTCGTCGCCACCGGGAGTTCCCGGAGGCAAATCAAGGGTCAAGTCTTTTGCTGAATTGTTGTGGTAACGAATGATTGGAAGCAACTGATTGTTGGCTAAATGAACTACAAATGAATTGAGATTCAATGAGAACGATAAGGACTGGAAGTTGTGGTGCATATCCATGATTGCCAGTCGACATCCAGATGTTTTGGTGTCCCACACTTGCAATGTATTGTCTTCGGATGCGGACACAGCCGTAGAGCCGTCGAGTGTCATCTTGACTTGAGAGACATTGGCGTTATGACCGGACAATGTAAACAGATCCGAACCAGTGGTCATATCCCATACAATTAGATTACAGTCTTGTGAACCGCTGATAACCAGACTTGAGTTGAGTGGTGCAGTGGCCACACATGATATGCTGCCTTCGTGTCCAACCAAAACTTGTGTTAGCTTAGCGCTGGTCACTTCCCAGACCTTGAGCGACATGTCCTGAGAGCCGGTAATGATTGTCTGGCCATCGTATGTGCACGTGTAGCACGTGATGGGTTCGCTATGTGAAACAGTTTTCTCATTTTCATAATCATATGATGACCAAAATCGGACACTAAAATTCAATGTTTTAAAATAAATGTTTGTTAATAGAAAAAAATTTATGAAATTTTCGCAAAAACCTGTTATCATTTTTTCCGGAAATAGCGAAAACTGTGTTTCCCTGATATATCACATTATTAATAGGTTTTGTCGTCACTACCAATCGGTTACCATTGTCTGCCTGCCAGAGCATATGAACACCCATAGCATCGACCGATAGTATCTTTCGGGAATCGGATGACACTTTCACCACAACAATACTATTTTGATGTTCAGTAAATGTGGACACAATCAGACCTAAAGTTAGTCCCCAAACACGCAGTGTCTTGTCCTCAGAGCCCGAAACGGCAAATAAACCGTTTGGCGCAAAATCAACACAAGTAACGGCTCCAGTATGACCTTCCAGTGTCGTATGTGTCTCACCAGTACTCAGTTGCCATATCTTAACTAAACAATCACGACTACCAGTAACAGCCAGAGAGCCGTCACGCGATACGGCCACACATGTGATTGGCTCTCTATGATTGTCTACTCTTTTCTTTTTGCGAGACGAAGGTCGCGAACGCGGCTGTTGTTGGCTGTCCTTTGGATTTAGTCCATCAATATTGGCGGCCAACAAGTCTTTGTCTTTGTTTCGGGCACTGAAATTCCAGATAACAATTTTATTTCCGCCGCAAGTAAACAAAAACCGATCGTTCGTCTGCGGAAGGATCGCCGTAATCATCTCCGTGTGCGCCGACAGTGTCTGTAAGAGTCGGGCCGAGTGTATGTCATAGATATGCAACTTTCCGTCGCCGCAGCCAAGTATACAGCGACAGTTGTCTTTGGCGAACCTCAGATACGATATGACAGCGCCGACAGAGTGTCCCTGAAGACAGTGTACATTGGATCCGGTGGTCAGCGCTCGTACATGAATGGAGTTGTCCTCACAGGCCAACAGTAAGAAAGTCGAGTCAAGGGATATATCCATATGCATAATGGGCTTCATTAGTATGATTTCATTGAGTATACAAAACGTTTCCAAAGACCAGACGGCAACCGTACAATCGGTAGATCCCGTGACAAAAACATCGTCACCCGAGTTGACACATAGGCATGTAATCATACCTTTGTGATGTTCAAGTCGGGCTAGTATTGTCCCGGAGTCCAAACTAATGGCACATACGGCGCCTATTTCGGAGCCGCTGAGTATGACTTCCTCCGAGTGCGATATGACTACACAGAGGACACCAGCGATATGTTGACTGAAATATTAAAAGAAAATAACAATTTTATTAAATAATAATGAAATAAAAAATATTATTTTCATTTAAAAATAATTACTTTAAACGATGTTTTAGTTTACAAGAGATCTCTTTATTATCGATATTCACTTCCCAGAGATTTACGTTCGTGTCTTCACTGCCGGTGACCAACCATTTGCCCGAATCAGACAAATGAAGACATGTTATTGTCGACCGATGACCTAATTTATACAATAATTGTGCAAAAATAATGAATTTATAAAATTACTTATTATGTAATTTATTAGTAAATATTTAGTATTTTCTAAAACAGTGTTTTAATTTTTATTAATTATTAAATAATATAGAATAATATTTAAATACTAATTTGCAAATAATTTTTATTTATATATGCAAATGTAACATTATGAATAATGAAATAATATTTTTATTTGAACATGCTCATTTAAAAATATTATTATACATATTTGTTATACAATATATTATATGTTATATAGTATTTATTATAATATCTTTTCTATAGAAAATAATTATCAAATTTCTAATAAATTCTTATTAAGTAATTAAGAATTTCATATTTCAATTATATAATAGATATCTAAACAATTATTTTTAAAATAAAAATAATTTATATTTTATTCAACTAATAAGCCGGTAACAATATTTTCTATTATAATCAATAATATTCAACTAAATCTTATTATGAAAAATACTTTTCTATATAGATTTTCAATTTTTATAATACATTTTTATATTAAAGCTAACATTGCTATTAGGTTAATAATATTAGTAATACAAAGTTAAATGTTAATACCAAACATAAATTTTATAAAATTTAAACATTGGATTGTAAATATTGTAAATATTTTTATAATAAGATTGAATAAAATTTTTGAATCTATAAAAACTGAAATATATTTAGTTATAAACATTTTTCTTTATAATTAATGATTGTATGTATTGTACACTAGTATGTAAAGTAAAATCTAATTAAAATTGATGATATATTTATAAAATATGAGATACAATTGCGTGATATTAGCGTATAAAAAGACAGTCAACATTATCTAATGTACTGATATTACAACACATAAAATGGTTTTAAAATGTTTATGACTTTTTTCTCTCTGTTTTACATTAACTACTTATACAGTATTAATATAAATATATTAATATAACTATAGTGTACAACAATGATCAGTGTATAAACAGTATTGCATTATGAATAAATATATTATGATATAATATACAGTATAAACAAAAAAAACCTAAATATAAACTATGGGTACAGTATTTAGCAAACATTTGTCATAAAAAAAATCTTGGGATTATATAAGCATAAAATCATAGATATTATTGTTATGATTATTACAGTACTATTACTGTTTACTGTTAAGATAATATTAAAGATACTAAATGTGGCAAAAAATAATGGAAAACTAAGTAAAAGTAAACTTTATTATAAGTAGGGTTAGATCAGATTCCCTCCCTCGTCTTATTTTCCATAAGTTCCTTATATTCCCTGTTCCCTGGGAATTCCCTGGGAAGACATTTCCTTGTGGTACCACCTATCGTACCCTAACTCACATTACATAATGTTTAATTAAAAACACGTTTGTATAGTAAATGTCTACAAAATGTATTTTAATGTTTTTACTAAATGTTTAATAATATTTGAATCATATTTTGATTGAGTTATTACTAACATAATGGTCCCAATTGAAACACATAGCCATTGAGATTATGTACTTTTTAATGTATGACAAATTATATTTTCCCTTTCTAACGATCAAGGGAAGGAATATAATATATTTTCCATATTTTCCGGGAAAATTGGAGGGATTTTATTTGGGAACTTCCCTCCCTGGGAATCTCAATCTAACCCTAATTATAAGTAAAGATATAAATGTTTTTTATGTGTCACCAAATCATCGCTATATAAATGCTTGTTTGAAAAAATAAAACATCAGAAAATAAGATCTAAATAATACAACAAAAAATATGTACATTTTTTGATTACTAATTTAATGTATTTTTACTTTATAACAACTTTTATTATCTTACAACGATTTTGTTAAAAAAAACTTTTGTCACTTTTATTATTACATTTTATCACTTTTACCGATTAAATAGCATTAAAAGTTTTGGTGAAAAAATAAAAAGATTAAATTACTCTCTCTCTCTCTCTCTCTCTCTCTCTCTCTCTCTCTCTCTCTCTCTCTCTCTCTCTCTCTCTAACTCATTCACCTAAATTTTTTCATACATTTTTCATTTAAGTCTAAATTTCTAACATTTAATTTATAGTTTTAATGTTTTTTTCCTTAGTTATGATTTGTTGAATAAATGTAAATTATTTTTATTTAAATTACGTAATCACGTATAAATTGTACAGTACAAGTATTACATTTAAATTATAAAAATTATTTTTGTTTCAAGTCTACGAAAATAAAAATTAATTAATTATAAGTTATATATATTATGTCTTAAAAAACAATCTAATCTATACTATAATTAATCTACAGTGAGATATAAAAATCCTATTTATAATTCACTTTTTCATTATTCATTTTACTGTACTATTATTAATACATTTTTAGTTAGAAAATTATAAGTTGTGATGAAATGTGGATTTAATTTGAAAATGAAACTTTATATATATTATATACAATAATACTAAAATATAAAAGTATAATTAGAGAAAAAAAACTTGACATTTTAACATTAATCTCAAACTTAGTATAATTAACATCAAACACACACACATTCACAAAAAAATGATTTATTGTTTTAAATAAAACAAATATTACACAATCATTGTATTACATTGTATAAGAAAACATACCTTCAAATGATTTGATGATAGACTTTGCCGGCAAGTTATAAAAGTGTATCATTTTGGTCTCACATGCAATCAAATACTGGGAGTCGGGTGTGGACACGGCTCGGGTAATACTATTCCAGGTGCAGGTAATCATAGCCACTTGGGGCGGCATCGGCAGGTTAAGCCACGAATTGGATGGTATCAATAGTTGAGTGGTCTTCAAATTATTGCACCAATTGATGGTATCGTCGACTAATTGTTTCAGACACGTCTCAATAGATTTGTTGCTACTATTGTCTGTTAATTGATAGCTACCACTGCAGCTATCAGAGCCGGCACCGGTAGTATTAACAAACTGTTTGAGCCATAATAGTATTTCAATGGCTAATTGATTGGCATCTTGCGAGACTACATGAACCGATTGTTTGGTCATATTATATAACAACTCTATCTCCCAGTCCAGCACTTGACTTCTAACTACATCTAAAATGCTCCTCAAATAGCTAATTGAATTTCCCTTAACCACAGTCATCAAGAAATCGATGTTCAAAATCGCCAATTCCTTCAGCTTCTGGCGATCGTCGCATCGCAACAAATGATACCACAGTTCGTCCGCCTCTCTCACCAGTTCTGTCTCTTTGCGTATACTATTTGACTCATTCAGTGCCTTAAAAAAACAAATAATTAAAATTATTTTACAAATTAATCATTATATCATATAATCGATCATCAAATATACAGTAGTGTTGTAGCAAATGATGTATTGATATATAAATAATTAAATAATTTTTTTTGTTAAATTATATAAGTTTGTCGAGTTATTTAGTTAAAGTAAATATTTAATATAAAAAATACAATATTAAGTACTGTACAGAAAATATATTATATAATTATAATCTCTCTCTCTCTCTCTCTCTCTCTCTCTCCTCAATATACTGTATATAAATTACAATTTTTGTGGTCTTAATAGAGTAATTGAAACGTAAAATAGGTTTCCCTTTAGGTATATTTATTTTTTCCAGATTTTATTGATTTACTAGTAGTTATTTATTAATAGATTTTATTTTTATTATACCCGGCACTACTAAATTAGTATTAAATATGTTTTAAGCGAATATTAATTATTAATGTAAAATTATATTTGAAAAAGCTTTATATGTTAAAGTGTATAAAATATATTATAGATATTAAAATTAATAATAGAAAAAATATAAATTAAATTAGTTTGTTTTATAATATATTCAATGTTTAACTTACTAAATATAAAGTACAGTATAAATACCTTATATTTAAATTAACTTAAAAAGTAAAATATATCACTAAAACTAAACAATAATTTAATAAATATATGTAATTAAATTCAATAATTTTGTCAATTATAGTAAATATTCATTTTCTATAAATTTATTGCCCATCAAATACCTGCCGACCTTTTTATGTTAATTACGATTTTTGATGTTAAAAGATATAATTTAAATATAAAATTTAATCTTATTATATGTTATATCATATGACTCATATGAATTGAATATTATAAATTATATATTTAAACAAAATAATTATATAATCTATTTCTATTGTAACAGTTTTGATAATAAGTAATTTAAATTAATTAAAAATTGTAATAAAATATATTTTGTATTTTTAATATAATATAAATTTTTAGTTTTTAAAGCTTATATTAAATAGAAATTTTTTCAAGGTATTAATAATACATAGATATTTATATATCAATACTGTATAAGATTATTAATCTTAATATTAAAGCTTACTTTTTTTACAAAAAAACATTTTACAAGTTTAATGTTAAATTTTAAAGCAATGGCATAAAATATGACAAAAATTGTATATAAATTATAAAAAATATTTATTTTTTTTGTTTTGCTTAAAAGTGACATTTCTAGTGAAATTTTAAATTAAATTTTCACTGAGATTTGATTTCAAGTAAATATTCGTTTCATTTTGTACGGCATATTAACTACTAGTTTGGGTACACTATATATAAGTTATATCAGGTGTAAACCAGTCATGTAAAATAAAAATAAAATATATTTATATAAATATACACATAAATTGGCATAAAATAAATTTTGTTTTATTTTTAAATATTAAATTGCTTAGATTATATTATAATAAATCATGCAATGTTACATATATCGGTATATATATATAAATATATATATAGAGTATATATTGATATAATTAAAATGCAGTGATATATGATATAAAATGTTAATATAAATTATTATATATACTGTATATTCACTTTTAATGCAATTATTTATCACAATATTAATGTAATTAATGATTACAAAGACAAGCTTAACTGTAAATTGCAAATATAATTGCAAATACTTATACAATAGTATATACTATACTAATTACAAATAGATTTATTTGATATCTATTTATTTTATTTCAACTATCTGTTAACAAATAAACGAAACCAAATATATGATAATATTGCAAATAAATTTATACTTTTATACTAAATACAAATCAATTCAATTCAATTTTATGTTACATTATTTTGTATATTTTTGTTTATTGATTCATTTTAGTAATAAAAAAAATCAGACATATATTTGTGATAAAATAGTTTTAGACGGCGATTCTCTAGTTTTACGTGGATTTCAGTTTAACTTTAGGGCAAAACAACAAAACATTGAAACAGATGATACAAAAATATATTATTCAGTGAATCCACGGGTTAGTAATGCACTCAACATTTGATCACAAGATTATATATATATATACTGTATATATATATATACTATATATATATATAATATGAAAGAATTGTAATAAAAGTGCGGAAATGAGAAAAGCTTTCATTTTGTTGCTTTTGTTTTGTAAAAAAGTGAATCAATGAATAAGTGAAAGAGTAAGTTAGTGAGAAAAGAGAGAGAAAGAAGAGAGAGAGAGAGAGAGAGAGAGAGAGAGAGAGAGAGAGAGAGAGAGAGTTTATCTAATATGTAGTAAAATACACCTACCGTAATAATATCAGATATATACTGAACACACAAATTGTTATTTATTTATATGATAAAAGTGTTTATAAAGAATCATAAATATAATAAATTATGATTCATAAAATAATTTAATATATTTATAATATAAAAAATAAATTGTTGTTATTAATTTAAAGTCATGTTTAATAAATATCATTTTATATTTATAATAATTTCTTATATATCTATCATCTATTCATTCAATTTTATGTTAAACATATCTTAAGGTGATATTTATGTTTAACATTGAGACACAGCTATTAGCGATCAAAAAATAAATAAAAAAATAAATAAAAAAATAAAACATAAATATTAACACAACAAATGAATAGTCTAATTGAACGACATTTAAGTTTTATGTTTACTAATGGTGTGTGCATTGAATTTCAATATATAGTCTATAAAAAAAATAATACGAAAAATATTTGTAATGTAAAAGTCGTTTTCCAAGTATTTTATGTGACTATTAATGTCACAGAGCTATACACGACATGATTGTAGTATTAGACTGAATGTGATTATAAATTGAGAGACAATTTTTATTTTGTTGGTCTCTTTGGATGATTACCTCATTGAATGCTGAGTGAAAAGCCAGTGCCAGTTCCTGGTGTATTGCCTGCAATTTTGCCGGATCTTTAAGGTATCGGTGCCGGAGGGCATCGCTGATACATTGATTTTTCCATTTGATATAATTACGGCCTAAAACATAGTACTGTTTCCACAGCGGTGTTAACTGCTCTTTGATGGCCAGCCATGTATTGGCGTTGGCATCGGCTATACAATCGTCGTTGATGACCAGGTCGTAGATCTCCACCTCCCGGAGCCCATAACGTGTGCAACACAGATATGAGCAAATTTTTCTGATCAACGCCAACCCGAACCGATCCTCCAGATCGCTGACGGTGTGCGCAACAATACCGTTGATATCACTGGGTATGGAGGCTATGGTTGGCTCGTAAAAGGACTCCCAGTCCGTCAACAGTGTACACGACAATAGATTGGCATACAGTGGTGTTGTATGAGTTTGTTGAAAGTATGAATTGGAAAAGCGCTCCCTTATTACTGACCATTGATCAGCTGTCAGATTGTGTTTTTCATCCCTGAGTTTGCACTGTAGTGTCGATATAAAACTGTTTGCGTTGGCAATGGGTGTCAATCGGATAAAATTGTCGGCACTTATACGAGATCTTAAAAGCGAAAGTACTTCGTCGGCTGTTTCGGCCACTGAACAGATAAGATGAACATTGGCCGGTAAATTGAATGGCAACCAACCGAGCAGTGCCGTGGCCTGAGTTGACCACATGAGATGAATGTCGTCTAAAATGATGATTAGGTCCGTATTCTCAGAGGTTGTCTCAACCATTTTGAGCAAATCCTGGAACCAAATGGACAGTGCGGACAAATCGTAGCTTATGGTGGTTTGGGCCTCAAATCCAAACACCAGCGATATATGAAGACACAGATTGCGTAACAATTCCGATATATAGCTCGATCCGGGACTCTGGCCAATGTGTCGCACAATTCGTATAACTTCTTCGCCGCCGACCAGCCATTCGGTGGAATGGGTGAACACTTGCGACAAAAATGTCGTTTTACCGACACCTTCCTTACCGGTTACTACAATAGGTGCGTGTCGTGGACTTGCGTTGGCCGATGCTATCAGTTTCTGGATCTGTAACAGTGGCGCACAGTCCGAGTCAATGGATTGGGACACACCTATTGCACCGATAATGTTGCGAAAATTGCACAAATGGGAATGGGATTCACAGATCACTTCGGCCGGGTATTCAAACGCCGTCCGATTCATGTGATTGTCGATACCGGTGCGCAAACTGTTCAACAATGTTGTACCAAATTTGTCCAAATAATCGCTGGACAGAGTGTAGACAGTGGTGGCGGCCGTCGATGTTGTTGTCAACTCATCATTATTTTCATGTTTACGCGTCGACTCCTCGTCCCATGAAATACTGTTTATCAAAACATTATATAAAAATAACAGTAAAATTTGTTGTCTATATTTAGACTCTTAATTAGTAAATATAGAGTATATATAAATAAATAATTAATATAATTATTTTGCTAATATAGCTTTAATTATATTATTTAATGATTACTCTTAAATTATTCATCCATTTAACTATAATTAACAATTAATTACTTGTATATATTTTTAGTTTAATTATCTTTCTACTAAATTATTATTATTTTTTTATTAATTAGTTACACAAATAATATGATTAAAAAAACTATGTATATTATAGACATTGAATACATACTTAAAATAATGAATATTTCCCCGTTTGAGGCCACAGATGACATCGTCGATGAGCTGATGGACACCTTGAATAGCAGTGGCCGAGCACTCAATAGCGGCACCGGCGCCAGTGGCCGATGACGACGATCCGGTCATAGGTGTACTGGCGGTGGTAGGGGTGACATCAAAATATTGGGACACAGATGCGTGACCAAAGTCAACACCTAATCACACATAGCGATGATAATATAAATTATAATATAAAGATAAATGTAATAAAAAAAATTTTAATACAAACCTTCAAATTGTCGGATAAAACAAAGAAGTCTATCCGATGCAACACAAGAAGCAGTGGTATTGTTATTATTGTTGTTATTATTATTATTATTATGTGTTTTAACTAATTTCAAAGCGTGAAGTATCTGTCTGTGAACGGCTGACAACAGGGGCTCAAAATTTTCGCTGAGATTACCCTCCCGTTGGGCCACTTTGGCGCCATATTCAACAATTTTGGCAATAATTTCCATCTCTTCTTCGTGCTGTCGGGACGGCCGTCGCGGCCGGACTAACGAGTACTGAGCCGACGGATAGAGATTTTGGTTTTCGCGGTAACACTGTTTCAGTAGCGATACGTCGCCGAGTCCGGCCTCGTTGGCCACCGCATAGATGTGCTTGAAGTCACTCGAGCTGATACAAGTGGGTAATGCCATCGGTTTATATTTATGACCGATTAGACACTAATAGTAATATTTTTTAAAAATATAATAATTTTTTTTTATTTAATTAATTGTTCATTAAATCTATTAAACTAAATAGTTTTTTTACAGACCAAGAAAAATGTGGTCAATGATTGCCGAAAACAGTCATCAATTTCTTGCATCTGAAGAGCAAATTCGTGTGGATTCACTGATTCTGTATTGCATTCATAAAACAACTGTTGAGCCGCCAGTGATGGCGACTTAGGAACCGACGGTGATCTGAGTTGAGCAGCGGATCCGGTGTCCAAATAGATGGTCGAGTGACTGGTGGTCAGACTACTTGTGCTACGCCATTGTGGATCAATTATCAGCAGATCCAGTGATAGACTATTACAGTAGCGCTGGAGCTCTGGTATTACTACATCGTGTATGTGTCGGCGCTCGCAATCAAAGTCTAATATAAAAATATATATAATTTTTTTCGGATTATTTTCAAAATATTTATTTATACACAAGTTTTTCGTTTAATATATATTTTTTCAAATTGTCGTTTTAGAAATATATTTTTCTGAAGTTTGTTTGTGTGTTTGTATAAAAAGTATATATTTTAATATAATATTTACTAAACTCGCTAAATATTTTTTCATTTATTATATAAATACTGTATTTTCTAAATATAGAGAAAATTTAATATAAAATCTGAGTTCACACAAAATAGTATTCTAATAACTAAGTGTATATCAAAATGTATTGTAAATACAATTTTTTTGTGGTATTACAATATTTTTTCTAACACATTATAAAATCATATTAATCGTTAAAACCGTGAGAAATATTAGAAACTACTGTATATTATGTTGAAAACTCAGTTATTGTTAGTTATAACACACACACACAACAAACACACACACACACACACACACACACACACACACACACAACACACACACACACACACACACACACACACACACAACAAACACACACACACACACACACACACACACACACACACACACACACACAACAAACACACAATGTAACTATTAATATACTTATTTCAGCAAATTATAAATATTTGCAAAAATCTAAACATTTGGTGTTTTCTCACTATTTTTTTATTGCCAAATAAATTATATTTATAAATTTATATAGAATATAATATATTGACGATATTATACTAGTAGTCTATACAAACATATACGTTATAGTGGCTTATAGTTTATATTATGCTTAATCATACATTATCTAATATGCTTTATATTTATAAGTAAAATAATAATAGTATAATAACTAAATAAAGTATTATATCCTCACATATATTGATATTTATAAGTACATGTCAACTATTTTATGATTAATGTAATACATTATTTCTAGACATAAATATAAACAAAATTAAAGTTGTATATGAATTTAAAATTGATAATATAATATATAGAGATAAAAAACAAGCAATATAGAAATAAAAATTATAATTATTAACTGTTTTAGATACCATTTTTTGTACAGTCTAATAATTTTAATAAATCAACAAAATAATGTAATTATAAATTTAATAATTATTATAAGCAATTTAAGGATTTTATATTTTATATACAGTATTATTATTATTATAAAATATAATTATTATAAACAATAAAAATAATAAAAAATATATAATTTTCAATTATTTAGTATATTGTATTTTAATAACTTATTTATTTGTACTACTGTATTTATTTTTACACTATTTATTTTGGGTGTTTAGTTAAAAGCTAATATTTATTGTATAATTTTACGATGATCTCAAAAAAATTATTTTTAATAAATAATTTTAATGTTTTCTAAAATTTAATTTTAGGTTATAGATTGATAATAAAAATAGTAAATTATTGTTAAATATTATGATAAACTGTATTTCATTTATTTTAATAGACATAATTTCTGCTTATTATATAAATAAGTATCATTTATATAATGAGCACAAATTTATATAATAAATGAATTAACTTAGAGCTGAAAATCGTAAAACTTAAAAGTCAAAAACGATTTCGGTTTTAAATTTTTGGTTTAATTTAGGTTTTAATGTTTTAAATTTGGTTTAAATTTTAAACATAGAGTTCTATTTATATCTATAAAATGATGAACAAATTTTTAATAAATATATAAATAAATAAATAAGATATCATAACTAAACCATAGAAGAGATAATTTTAACAATTTAAATGAAACATAGATTTATTTTAATATAAACTATAGTCTAATTATATGCCGTTGGCTATAGAAATGTTTGAATCAATAATATATGAAAGTTATTATATATGAACAAAATATGAATTCAATTCAATGAAATATAAATAGAAACTAGAAATTCATTAATAATTTTTAGTCAAATAATAAATTAACAAAAAAATGCATAAAAAGAGAACATTAGATTTGCATATTATTTGTTTTATTTATACCAAACAAAAAAATCGATTAAAACTACTGCACATTATTATTATAGTCATATAATTTAATGATGAAAATTTCTTAAAAATGTTTCTGAAATTTAATTGTTACTATTATTACTATTGTTATTATTACTTTATTGCAAAAATTTTGTATTATTTTTGTTTTGGTTTTTATTAGATTTATTTTAAACTAAAATGTCATTATATAGCTTACAAACCATTAATTCGAAACAACAAAAACTAAAAATTTGCACATTTTTGTTAGCTTTTAGTTTAAAAATAAAATAATTTTAAGAGTTTTATTAAAGTATTTTATATATACACTGTATCTGAATATTATAATAAATAATCTTAATAGACATAAAATATAATTTTAATTAAGCAAATGTAATTTTTTAATTATTTAATCTTATTATAGGCTATAAACTATTGTTTATCAATTTATAAATATAAAATACACATAATATATTAAATTATAAATAAATATTATAAAGAAAAAACAGTTTATTAAAGTTTTTTTTAAAAAAAATTCAATCAATTATTTACACTTAGTTAGCTCAATGTCGTAGTCTTTCAACGTTTAAAATAAACGCAATTAATATTTTGTTTAGAGTGTGTCTATATATCTAATTTGTGTCAAAAAAAACTAAAATATTTTTAACCCTTATGTAAAAGAAATGTGTTTTTGATTTATTTTTTTCTAGTTTACTACACAACACAGCAATGTTATATAATAATGTATATAAAAACTTATATTTATATGACAGTTTATTTTTATAAATATATTTATTATATATACTAGTATATAAATTTATATATTAGTATAGACTATACATAGTGTATAATATATATATAATGTTAAACATGAAAGATTTTTATGTATTAAATAACCATTGCGTAAAATTAATTAATTGCTTTTTGAAAATAACAACAAATGTGTCACATTATTTGACAAATGAGTTAACTGATCTAATATAATGTAAAACAAAAATCCTATTTTATTATATATATTTCATATTATAATATAATAAAATCAATATCCAATTCTTGATAATAGTTAATCATAATTATATAATTAATAAATTTTCATAACATAATAAAATGTTACAATTGTGTAGATTGTACTCTATTGATAATTACCATACTATGTAATATTATATAAATATGCAATTAATATTATTTATAGAAAAATCAAGATAACAGTTTGAGTGAATAAATCATTAAATAAATAAATAAATTTTATAAATTTCATAAACTATTGACAACTATTAGAAATATACTTTCATAAATAGATTTAAATATTTATAAATATTCATTTAATAATTTTACTTTAACAATTATCATTAATTTATTTTATATAATATTAACGATCACTTTATATATATAAACATTGTTTTTTTGTCGACATTAATAAAATGATCTATGTAGAAATTTTTATAACCTTATATATAAATTATATATTCAAATATATATTCCTAAAAATAATACATATTTTAAATGCAATAAAACTATGTTTTTTATAATATATGTCAGTCTGTGAAAGCTTCACAAACAACATATAAAAGCGATTTCCTATTAAAATATTCATGAATTTATTTTTCATTCTTATTATTTGGTAATAATAGAAAAAGCAACAAAAAAAACATTTATATTATATAAAAATATATACAATTTTTGCTTATTTAAATATATTCAATATATCATATAAAATACTGTATAAACAAATAGTCAATAAAATATTTATTTTGTATTTATAAATACCTATAAATTTATGTCATAAAAATTTAAATATTATATACAGTGAAATCCATTTATATAACATTAGCAAAAAAATTATCTTTTAAAAATAAATCAATATCTATAATACATAAAAATTATTAAAATATTATTTAAGTACTGTACTATACATATAAAAATATTTTAAGCTATTATATAATTTAAAACTTTTAATGTTTAAAAGTCATGTTATGACATAAAAATTGGTTGCATTCAAAATACCCATAACTCAAATCATTTAAATTTATTTGACCTAACTTATAAAACGTTTAACAATTAATTAAAAATTTATATTTACATATGTATCATTATAAATAAATAAAATAATGTTTCATTATAATATTTGAATTATTATAAAGTATAATTGATTTTAAAAATTACTCAATTTTAATATTTTAATAATTAACAACAAAATAATAATTTAGACCATTTGATTTGGGTGTTTTAAATTTAGGTAGTTTAAAAATATATGCCATTAAAAACGTGTTGGTATTTACTTTATATAATATTGATTTTTATTATGATTTATAGTTTTTTTTAAAAAATAAAAAAAAGTGTATTAAGACATTACCAGCTTTTGTTGAACCGATGAATAGTTTGACGACCCGTGAGGGCGGATCGGGAAAGCCTTTTGTTATGTTTCCGTGAAGTATTAGATGCAATATCTCGTTTGGATCGCAAATGGTTGTGACAGCACTTGAGGTCGACATTGTCGGTAAATTTGTGTATTTTGATATATATATTAAATAAATAAATATATATATATATATATATATATATTGTGTATTTATAAATGTCACTTTCAATTATAAATTGATGTCAAAATAATGTTTTAATTATTTTCATCACTTTTTTATCATTATTTGTTTGCCAATTATGTGCTAATGAATATATTTTGTTGTTTTTATATTTGTATCTGTAATAGAAAAAAAAATTAGTAATAATAATAATTATAATAAAATTTGATTTTGTCATATATTTAATTATAATAAATGTCGCATTTATTATTAACTACACAAATGAAAGTTTTTTTTGTCTATTTAAATTTTTATTCTCTATTATAGTATAATACTGTATAATACAATATACACACATAAATTATCATTAAAATATTCATGTATATCGATTTAAACATAATCAATGTTAATATAAATATTACACATAATGTTAGCAAAGAGAGAGAGAGAAAGAGAAAAAAAAGGAAAAAAGTTTTGTTAATAAATTAATTAAATTCAACAATCAGTACTACAGTATATTAATAGTAAAAATTTTAATTATAGCCAAACAAAAATCTAATTTTTCCTAATGATTACATGTTTGCTACAAATATAATGATAAAGTTTCAAAATTTTTCAAATAATACTTTAGTGTGATTTTATTACCATTTTTACTATCCATAGCTTGATATCTGTCATAAAAATAGCCAATTTTTTATAAACAGATATTCAATAGGAAAAAACGTCAGAAATAGAAACACAGATTACATAATACTGTATATAAAACAATTGACTTAAATTACATTTCAGTGTTCAGACATTTTTTAAGGGGTCAAACATGAAAATATTTGACATATATTATAGCATATAGTTTTATATCAATACGATATATAAAAAAAGTTAAATAAAATTTTATATTTTGTATATGAAATCTGTATTTTTATTTCAATCACCCACCTACTCACTCACTTACTTACTCACTCACTCACTCACTCACTCACTCACTCACTCACTCACTCACTCACTCACTCACTCACTCACTCACTCACTCACTCACTCACTCACTCACTCACTCACTCACTCACTCACTCACTCACTCACTCACTCACTCACTCACTCACTCACTCACTCACTCACTCACTCACTCACTCACTCACTCACTCACTCACTCACTCACTCACTCACTAACTTATGTGAAAATATATACTTTCTGTATTATTATTATATATATATAACAAGTATATTGTATATACTGTACTTAGAGAGTAATCCTTAAACATTACAATAGTTTTCTATTACAAAAAAGCATTGAACCAAATATGATAAGTATTATAAATAAAAAAAGTTCACAAACACCACTACAACATTATAACAACTCCTAACTTAATATAATCATATATTATATAATCACCACTCAGTCACAAATCATTGGTACAGAATATTCTGTGTCTGTGTGTATGTATTATCAATATTTTCTCGCTTTTGTCATTACATATCTATGTATTAAGACCTATGTGTGTATATTTATGTTAGATATATTGATGATATATGTCATACTATGCACACAAATATAAGTAAAATGGTTATTATTATTATTAATTAAGTAAAAGCGTAATCCATTAAAGCTGTAGACAAACAACAGTTTATTAAAAATAAGTGATAAAAAAATCAATTATAAAAATAATTTGTAAAATGTGAGCAACACATCAAAATTATTGATTCATGTAAATTTAGATATTTACTAAATCTAACATTATTAAATATTTTTATTATAAAGTTATTTTTTCTAAATAATCTAATAATTAATAATTTAATAGTGCAACATGTTAAAGGTCATATAGAAAATTAATTTAATCACTGAAACTTTTATTATTATTAAATCATATTAATAATAATATATAATAATAAAGTAGAGAACATATTGTGTTTGCTTTAGTATTGGTACTATAAAAGTACATTAATTTTATATGACTTTTCATTTAAAAAAAAGGGATGTCAAGTGCATATGTATAAGCATATAAACATAAACACACACACACACACACACACACACACACACACACACACACACATACATACATACACACACACAACCACTTACTCACTAACACACACTCACTCACTAGATTACAGATCTCTCTCTCTCTCTCTCTCTCTCTCTCTCTCTCTCTCTCTCTCTCTCTGAGTGTGTGTGTTATAATATTATCAAACAAAATATTATAGTTATTATTATTTTGTTTAACTTTTATTTTTATCTATAGTTAATGTTAAAAGAAGATTCCATATTATCAGATATGCTATTAAACAAAACAAAAAATATTTTAATTAAAAACCTTTCCAACGTTATTAGCTAAATATAATAAGACAGTTATTGTGGCAGAAATATATAGTATATAATAGTAATAAATGATGGATAAAAAATACACGTCAGTTATAAACTAAATGTATCATTTTATACTGTATTTATAAATGATTTTTATTTTTGTAATAAAATATTTTTGCACTAAAATAAAATAAATGTCTAAAACATAAGTCTTACTTAATATACTTATGGTTTATAAAAATAATTTAATTATTAGTCTATTGTTTATCGATTCATTTCGCTATTAATTTGTGTTAAACTTTATGATTATATAACACACTTTAAATTTAAAATAAAATTTATATACAGTACTATAGTAATTATAATTTTTATTATCTAAAATTAGGCCAATGTTTGAACAAAATATATATAATATATTATATATATAAATCTACATTTATATGTAATTTTATCATCTGGTTATGACATGTGGAAAATAATTTAAATTGACAAAAACATATACAACTATAATAACATAATAATTATATACTTTTAACAAATAGTTATACAACTACGACAGTACATGTATTCAATTATAATAAAATAATAGGTTATTAAACATTAGATTACTTAATCATAAATTGTTTTCAATTTGGTTGGTTTTTGAGTTAAAATTTCCGGTTTTAAATTAATTTTTTATTTGATTGAAAATGTTAAGTTTTAGATTTATAATAATTTTAATCCTAAAATACTAATAATATTATTTATAAAATAAAAAAATTAATAAAATGTCCAATGAAAATTATTGTTTTAAATCTTAAATTTCGGTTTGGATTTTTATAGATTACCCGATTTCTATCTCTATTACTCATAAACACAAATATATAGTTAGACTAAATTGACAGTAATATACAAATTGTATAAAAGTATAGTTTGTATAACATATACAGTATCTTTAATTTTTAAGTCAGTTAAAGCTTTTTAAAGTTTATTTTATTTTTTCAAGAGATAGTAACTGTTAAATAAAGCATTAATATTGTAAATATATTATCTACTCATATATTTATAACAATTTATGGTTTATATTATATTTTTATATAAATTGTTTATAAGAATAATAATAATAAAAATATATAAAATTGCAATCATTTGGCAGTTGTAATATTTGACAATAAATTTTATCACACATTTAAGTAAAATATATTTAAAACTCATTTTTAGCTGTCAGTCAATGACAATGAATATTATTATTTGACAACAAATGTACTGTACTTTAATTTCTATGTATTATATGTTATGTGTATTTCAAAAAATGCATTATCAATGAAAATGTTTGAAATAAAAATTGACATTCATGACAATATTATACATTAAAATTAACATTATTTAGGAAAATGTTACAAAATATTACAATAACAACAACAAAAACAACATATTATTATTAATAATAATTTAGATTAATAATTCAATTAATATTATAATAAAATATTTAAAATAAATACAAACAAGAAATATATTTATAATTCGTAAATACTGTATTTATATTCATCTAATTGACAAATATATAACAAAAATATAAATAAATTATATAAATAAATATATATATATTAGTATAATATAAGCCTTACTGTAACCATAATTATACTGTACATGTTTTTAATAAAATATACAAAATAAATAATATGTTTATAGCAATGAGGAAAAAATGTTATCATTATATATCCTAACAAAATCTAAAATAATAGTATTATAATAAAAATGCAGCTGTTTATAGTTATATAATAGCAAATTTAAAAATAAAATATGTAATGATTTTTTTTGTGTCTTATATAATATAATATTAGAATAACAATAAAATAATAATAAAATAATAATTATTTTTCAATACTCATATTTCTTATTACAAAAATAATAACTTTTGCTTAGAAATTGGTTTAATAACGAAATTATTTAATAATAAATATATAAGAAAAAAATGAAATTTTCATTTTAACAATAATTATTTTATCAATTATCATGAATTTATTGAAACAATATACGGACTAATAATTAACAATTTATAATAATATATTGTAATATAAATAAATATTAATTAAACAAAATAAGACTTTTATTAAGCAATACAATACATATTAAAATTATTTAGTAATTTTATAAATTATAAAATTACTAAAATTAGTTGTTATATTAACTCAATTTTAAATTTTCTGTTATATAAAATTATAAATTATATTAAAACTAACCATAATTATTGATAATCAATAATATTAAAGTCTAATAGTTTACACTATTGATATTTACTAATGATGCGCTATTAGCTTATAAACCATATATGAAATGTCTATAATTTTGTACTGTATATTATCATATATATATGTAGTACAATATGTGTTTAAGTTTATTATACAAGTAAAAGCCAGTGTTAAATAAAAGTGGATATAAGGATATAAATATAAAATCAATAAAATATCACTGCATTAAAGCATGGATATAAAGTGTATATGTGTTATGTAATATAAATTTGACATTAAAGTTGACTGCCATTTAAGTATTGTTTGGTATATATATATTTTTTAGACAACAATTCACTTAACAGTTTACCCATTATATCTTATATACTGTATATATACCGTATATGTATGATAGCAAGCTTTCAAAATATTTTTAATTAACATTTTCATCCATAAAAACT